TTTTTAAAGTACTGACATTATTTTGTTTTGGATATATTTTTCCAGAAAGATTTAAACTTGCAAGTTCACTATTAATTGCAAGTATAGATATAATGGGGAGGGGGAGAAAACAGAGGGGAAGGGAAAATTGAAGAACTAAAAGTTTCACTACTGATATTAATGCAAGATTGTCAGGTAACTTCATAAGTTTGACCAGCAATGGGTAAAAGCATCCAAACGGGAAAAATAGAATCAGTTTCATTAAATAGGAATGTAAGTCAACAGAAAACCACATAATAGTGTCCAACTTGCTCAAGATGCGATCCAGCAATGAACAGAGAAGCATAAGGAGCTCTCTGATATTTTCTCAGGCAACAAAAATAAAAGGGAGAGTTGAGAGAACTTCAAAGGCACAGCACACTGCAAACAGGGCATCGCTCCAAGGAATGACAGTCACTTGTTATAAACACCCTACTTTCTTCAGTATCCTTCCCACCCAACTCCTCACAGGCTGAAGTTTTAACAACTATTTCTGAAACTGAACCTCATAGGTAACTTTATACAGGTAAGTGACAACTAAGACCATTCCATAAGCCAATGGGATAACTTCAGTCACTTATGAACTCCTACTATATTTTTAGTCTCAGAAGCAATCAACTGCTTTTTCCTTCTGTGGCTCAAAAGATTTATTTCTAAGCTATTTTTTATTGCCAGAATTTTTTTTTTTAAAAGGTTGCTGTCACAATACAATAGTAACTACATTTGTCCCTCTCCACTTTCACAAAATTACATACACATGCTCAAGAGAGAAAAATGAAGGCTTCATGGAGACTTAACATGACTAAACTGTTTTGTAATTACATGAGCTCACACCTGCAGTTTGGTTTCAAAGAGATAATTTGTTTAGCTCCTAAACCTTCTCTACATACCACACTATTACTATTATATTATTCAGCAGGAGAGATGCTGAATCATAATTTTGTCAGAAACCCTTCTTACATATGATACACTTTTGGATGTGAATTATTTTTAGAGAGGCACAGGGGGAAGGAAGGAGGTAGACTATAGTGGTTCCCAAATGAATGTGTCCCTTTTCAGGACAGATCAAAGACAGATGCCACTGACCAAAAAACACAGAAAGGAGGGAAGTGCATTAAAGTTAGTCACCTATATGATGGAATGGCAAATTATATTTAATAGAATAATATGTTCCTTCCTACTGCTTGACTCATTCCAAAATGCATATATACAACATATTATATAGTTAATGGTGCTGTTGCACTAATTTGCATATCTCTGTAATGGACAACCTACAAATATGGCCTACAAATTTCAAGCATTAACATTGACACAGCACACATTAATCCAACCATATCCTACAGTCACTTAAAAGCTTCTTTTACAGAGAAACCCTCAACACTATAACATTTTAAAGCTGTTCATCTTATGAAAGTAAAACTGATATATTATAATAACTGTGAATGACTTCATGTGCCTGAGCAGCATACCCTCTATGCATTTCTATCTTTCCCTTCAGTTGGTTTGCTACATGTAGAAAACAAATATCCAAGGAAGAATTGAAACAAATCTTACAAAATATCAGTAACTTCCAATTTAGTTTTATTTTTAATAATTCAATATTCACCTCTATTTTCATATTTTGCAACTGCATTTAGTGCAAAAACCAAAGCACTTAAAGCTTTGCTGAAGAAGTTTTACCAACAGACATTTTTAAATAACCACACACTGCCCGGCCTGCTCTAATTACAAATGACCTGAATATGTAATCATAAAATAAGCTGCATAATATAATTAAATTTAAAACAAACCAAAGATGTACTAAGCTTCATCTACAAGAAATTACAAGTTAATGGAAGTATCAGAGGGGTAGCGGTGTTTGTCTTTTTTACAGATCCAGACTGAGTCCTGTGGCACCTTATAGACTAACAGATGTATTGGAGCATAAGCTTCCGTGGGTGAATACCCACTTCGTCGGACATGCATGCATCCGACGAAGTGGGTATTCACCCACGAAAGCTTATGCTCCAATACGTCTGTTAGTCTATAAGGTGCCACAGGACTCTTTGTCGCAAGTTAATGAAGTGGGTTTTTTTTATGTATACCGTTCTTAGAGTTTAAAAAAACAGGGATACAGTAAGGCTTCATTGACATGTTTCTTTTAATTAAAGAAAAAGTCCCTTCACCAATCTATGACTATGTACTTCAGCATAGCAGATGTGAAGAGCATAGCAACAGCTTAGGAAAGGACATAAAGGATATCATATCCAAATAAAGACACAACAGAAATTTATATGGACAAAATGTAATTATCCCATTTGGTTTATGCACCAGGGCCAACATCACTACTCTTATTAAAGTTTCAGGATCTTGGGTTTGCACTTCATCTCAAAGATAGCACCTCCTGCAGCACAGCAGCCCATAAAACCATGCTGACCAAAAAAGAATAGTGCCATTTTAATAAACTACCAACTTTCTGCTGAACCCTGGGTTTTCCAAGGAAGTCTCCCATCTAAATATTGATCAGGCTAAACCTTACAAATGTGATAAAAACACAGTCTGAGGTGGTATTTTTGCTGACAGTGAGGACTTGCCTACACCATACCTTCAAGGCCTAATTCTGCAATTTACTGTGTGCAGACTGACTGCTTCAACCAGGCAGGCAACATGATCAATGCCTCAATTTGTAACCAGTTAATGGTTAGTATTCTCAGAAACCAGAGCAGCTGGTCATGTTGCCCTGGTTAGCAATCTAGGCTGGCACACAGCTGTCTTCCTGTAAACAAGTTGTAACACTTTATTGCAGTGCACACAAGAATCCTTAACCATGTCTTTGTAAACTGGTTTGCTGGTTCTCCTTCCTGCTTCCTCTCTGAACCTTAACACATCCCAGCATATGCTGCCCAAAACACCAGCACTGTTCCATTGTTTCCATGTGCTCCCAATCTATCTGTTGCATCCACTTGTTGTGTTTTGTACTTAGATTATAAGTTCTTTGAGACAGTGACTGTCTTCTCATTATGTATTTGTAAGGTGCATAGCACAATGAGATCCTGGTCCATGATTAGGACTCCTAGGTGCTACCACAATACAAATATATAATACTTTGCACTTATATTTTGCCTTACAACCCATGGTCCCAAGGCCCTTATAAATTTTTACAGATCTTCTAAGGATTTTGTAAATTGATAAGGAGATATAAAAAATAGGTAAAATGTGGAAGTTAACAGATGCCTGGTTGACAATTTATAAATGTAAAGCATATCGTTTTCTTGTAAAAAAAAAAAAAAATAAATCTTCGTCACTTCAGACCATTGGAATAAATGAAAAGATTGCCAAGACAGGCCACTGAATTTAATGGGGGGGGGGGGGCAGGGTGTTTGTTTGTCTCTCTCTTTAAAACAGTATTTGGGTTAGTTCATTAAAAATATTTACTATATTTACTCTGTACATTAAACGTTTAGTTATCTAGGGGAAACTGCTTTTATTTTCTGGATTTACCTCAAGATGTGTACATTTTGCAACAATCAACATGGCAAACAGTCCAGGCAGTGTCCTTTTAATGTCTTTTTCAGCAGTCAACTAACAGTCATTACCTATAAAGAATTCTGATTGAGGTCACTTTTTTTGAAAGTGTCCAAAATATTACTTTCCAGATACTTGTCTACTTTTTTCCCATTTTTAAATGGGGGGGGAAGCAGCCCTCTCAACAGCAACTGAACAAACATTTTCTCTGTCTTCCCCCATTGCAAACCAAGAGTAGTTATATTTGTACTATGCAAAAATACCTCTTATTAAAATAGGCAAAGCAGCTTGCAATACCCATATGGGCCCAACTAATGTGTGGTGTTCTACTTTCTTTTAACGTTCAGATGAAAGGAAGTGTGTTCAACAGTCTCGTCTCTCACAATACTGCAAACTTTCTTAAATTATAAAAGTATTAGACTAACATATATAATTACTAATGACTTGGAAGACAAAGCTTTCAATAAAGGATCCTGACAAAACAATCCCTCTTTTACGCACAACGCAAAAGTATTTCTCAGTCCACCAGAGGAGAAAGAAGGGGACCTCATTTGGCAATCAATTTTGAAGTAGCTTTTTCAGTGCATTATTTGGCTGCATATTAAAATTCACAGACATGATTTTCTTACCATATCTATAATTGTTATTGCCAACACAGCCCTTACAGGAGTTGTGTGTTCTGGCAGCTCAGACGTTTATGTCCCCACAAACTTTTAAAACTTCCAGATACAGAACCTGGACGATCGGGAATAACCATCATGGTTCTAAGCCATTGTAACTCGCGTTTCAGTGGGATGTAGCCCTGACACCCCATCTGACTTATCCTGAGAACTGAAGGGGGAAGAGAATTTTACAGAACATTTTAAAGCAATTTTCAGTGGTCTCACACTGTGGGAATGGAGAGTTTCTGCTCTATTTCAGAAAGTTTTTTTTTTTTTTAAAACTTCCTCATTATTTGAAAATCTCATTCAAGCTGCCCCAGCCCTGACTCAGCAGCCACCACGGAAGGTGGGTATTAAGAGGGGATACTCGTAGAATCATAGGACTGGAAGGGACCACGAGGGGGGGTTATCTAGTCCAGTCCCCTGCACTCATGGCAGGATTTAGTATTATCTCGAGTCTAGACCATCCCTGACAGGTGTTGTCTGTCCCAGCTAGTCCCAGTGACTAGTCCCAGCCCTGACCAGCAGCCAAGGGAGGGGGACCAGGTAAGGGGATAGCAGAACAGTCTTTGCCCCACCCCAGCAGTCACCAGAGAAGGGGATAAGGAGGGATAAGGTCAGTGATGGCCCTGACCCAGGGCAAATAAGGACCAGTCCGACGCCGGCCCCCAGGAAAGGGGACGGGGGCGGGAGGGGAGGATCTCGGCCCCGCAGCCCCCAGGGAAGGGGGTAGGCGGTAGGACAGTCCCGCCCCCCGACCCCGCAGCCCTTACGGCGGGAAATGAGCAGCGGGAGCCGGCTCCGCACGGGACTCACCTGCAGTTCATGGGCCGGACGCGGACAGCCACCTTCACCGAAGCCATGGCTCATCCCTGCCCCGGCCCAGGGCTGGCCCTCCCGGCTGCCGGCTAGGGGACAGGCCACATCCCCGCCTCCTCCGCTACTGCATGCTACCGTCACGGCGAGGCGGGGCGGCCCCCTCCCACGCAGTCGCCCGAATCACTGCGCCGGTCGGGCCGGCTCCCCTTGTTGTCACAGCAGCCACGGGGCAGCGGCGGCGAGCACCACTGGTACGGCGCCAGCGCAGGGACAAACCGCCGCGGGACGCGTTGCTCCTCCCCTCTGCTGGCTGGTGCCCGGAGCCCCGCCCACCAGGGGCCGGAGCCCCCTCTCCAGGGAGGGGCGGGGGGAGGGAGCCTGGGAGCGCCCCTCAAACGGGAACCCGCTCACAGAGCAGCGAGCCCCTCGAGCCCAGGCGGGGGAAGGGGAGCACAACCACAGGGAGGGATCCCGACACACACACAGACGGGTGAGCAGGTGCAGTCACTAGCCAAGCCTGTCCCCTGGGGTTACACACTCCTGCCCCCATGGGGCTGTGGTGGGGTTAGCTGTTGTTTGCTTCTCTTCATCACAGGAAGCATGAACTCGAGAGCTGTAGGGTTTGTGTAATCCCACACACCGCATCTAATCCCAGATGATGGAGTTACCAGGCCCCTCCGTAATTAAAGATCTGATGAGCTCTAGAGTGGAACAACAATCCCAGGCAGCTAATATATATATATTAATCTCCCAGACGAAGATTCGACCCAAGAGGAGCTGCCAATATTTTTTTAATTTTGGAATGTGGTGAGAAGCAGGACCGTTAGGTTTTGGTCCATACCCAAAGCAATGGGAGTTTTACTAATGGGCTTTGGTGATGCACAGTGGCAGAATAAAAGTATTATCAATTCTGGTATAATACGAGGAAGTAAGGACATGAAGAGCAGCCCCGTCCTGCTCATACTGAAGACAATGGGAAAATGCCACATAACGCAGCTTGCAAATATATTGCAAACACAGTAATAGGATTTTGGCCTCTTCTGCAGGTAGTCTTTCAATAATGCAAAAAGTTTTAAAAGAGTGTGTCTTTGTAAAGTGTGTAGTGGAGTCCTTCTAGGTGCTACCATAACACAAACACATTATTAATAATGATTAATTATGAAATTATTATTATTAATGGATCAAAACAAATGCCCAGATCCCACAAAGAATCAGGAATTTTGTTTGTGGAATTGAAGGTTCTGCTTGCAGCCCCCTTTGCAGAAATGGGACATGAAAGTGGACACTTCTTTTACTGGTTTATTTATCCCACCCAAGAAGAAAGACTGCTAAAAACACCTGAAGAGACAAAGGCAAGGGCTGAGTCCAGACTAAAACAGGAGTCTAGTCTGTAAAGAGAAATAACTGGAACTCTAAGCTGCAGAAAATCTGCATCTTCCCTAAATCAACATTTAGGATGAGAAATTATATTTTGTAACCAGTTTCTTTAAAATCTTAAATTTAGTATGCGTGTTTTGTTTTATTTGCTTGGTAATCTGCTTTGTTATGTTTGCTAACCCTTATAATCACTTAAAATCTACCTTTTATAGTTAATAAACTTGTTTTAGTTTATTATTAAACCCAGTTTGTGCAATCCATATTGGGGGGGGAAGAAGCTGTGCATATCTCTCTTCACATTGAGAGAAAGGGCAAATTTTTATGAGCTTGCGCTGTGCAGATCTTTCTATATAGCACAAGACAGTATTATTTTGGGTTTATTCCCCAACGGGGTGTGCACGTGAGTGCTGGGTGAATCCTCTCACACAGAGCTGCCTTCAGTCTGTGTCTGCAGCTGGGCATGGCCCTACCTGTGTGTATGTGTGTGCTGCAAGAGGCCGGAGAGCCTACTGTATATACTCGTTCATAAGCCGAATACTTTTGGTAAAAAAGTGACGCATCAAAGGGCGGGTGTTGGCTTATAAACGGGTCTAGACCAAAATTTGATTATTTTAAACTCTATGGAATCATTGAATTGAATATCTAATACAGGGATTGGCAACCTTTGGCACGCAGCCCGCCAGGGTAAGCACCCTGGCAGGCCGGGCCGGTTTGTTTACCTGCCGTGTCTGCAGGTTCGGCCAATCGTGGCTCCCACTGGTTGCGGTTCGCCGCTCCAGGCCAATGGGAGCGGCAGGAAGCAGCAGCCAACACATCCCTCGGCCTGCGTTGCTTCCGACCACCCCCGTTGGTCTGGACCGGCGAACCGCGGCCAGTGGGAGTTGCGATCGACCAAACCTGTGGACACGGCAGGTAAACAAACCGGCCCGGCCCAGCCAGGGTGCTTACCCTGGCGGGCCACGGGCCAAAGGTTGCCGATCCCTGAGCTAATACATTGTAGTTTTGTTTACCTGGAGCGTCTGCAGGCATGGACTCCCTCAGCTCCCTGTGGCCGCGGTTCGCCATTCCCAGCCAATTAATGGAGCAAATACCAACCACTTTTCACTGATGCATTTTGTACTTCATCTTTTCTTCCACCTACTTATATTTTAGATGTATCGTAACTACTTTTTCCTGTGAAAGGCTTCTACATAACTTTGGTCTTAATATTATTGCTGCTGTTGTCCCATGCTGTGTTTGTGAAAGTTCTCTTTCATTCCTCACTAAGCAGTTCTTTATAGTTCATGTTCCAAGAGCTTGCCGTGCAGTTGCAGCCGCATATATCCTTCTCTAAGATCCTACTTATTCTCTTTCAAGTCCCTTCTCAAAACTCACCTCCTCTGTAATGCTTCTGAAATCCCATAATTTACTGAGATGAAGGAGATCCATGTTCAAATCCCTTCTCCCCCATCAATTGATCGAGGAATTGAACTTGGGTCTCACATCCCATGTGAGTTCTATGACCACTGGGCTCAAGGTTATAAGGAAGGCACCTCCTCCTCCTGGCCTCTGTTTTTTTGTGAGAAAGGGCTGAGGTGCCTAACTCCAATAGAGGGTTCATGGCTGTGAATCCCAAATGGAGATAGCTATCTAGCTCCCTTTGAGAGTCTAGGCTTAGGCCACTCCCATCTCCTCAGCATTTTTTATCGACTAGCTTAGGCATCTCCCCACTCAGCACATACTTGCTTTTGTGAATCTCATTCTTCGACACCTAACTCTCCTCAAGCATTGTATAGTGAGCCTGGATGCTATCTCAGGGTTGAGAATTCCACTATGGGAAAGGGTGCCTACAATTTAGCATTGTAATGCTAAGCATTGCAGCACCTCAGTCCCTTTGCAAATCTTGGTGAATTAATAGTGGATACAGGCCTTCCTGTAAGTTCTTAAATCACAGTGAGCATCAGTTTGACTGAACAGCCTGTGTTTGTATTTCACAGTTTGGTTCAGGAAGCAGAACTGTCATCTCTGTAAAAAGAGTGATCTCTAGTTCATCAGAAACCAGCAAGAGGCTCTTCTCTAGCCAAAGCTGGGAACAGTGTTACCTTCTCACAGCTATAGGTCAGTTCATCATAGAAGTTATCCTAATCTTTGAGTCCTTTGAACTCTTTTGGGAAGAAAATGAATGCAGCTTCGTCTGCTGATCTATTCTCCCTCTGTAATTGTCGGTAAGCTGCGTGGTGCTGTTTAAATCTGTTTTGACATGCAGAACTAGATGTCATTTCTTCATAACCCAGTGAGATTCATGCTGAACTTCTGCACCTGAACAATCAGAATAGGTCTACCGATAGGCTTTCTTTATTGTCTCTTCTGTCAAAACATGAGGAACAAACAACCTTCCCAGTTCAGAATTCTTTACTGTATGTAAACACTTATTTAATTCTTATGCAGAGTTAGTTCTTTTTGATCAGCAATTTGTTTTCAAACCATCTTCCAGATATAGATATAAAGCTGGTGTCAATGAAACATGTATCTGGGTGTCTCCATTTCTGACTTGCAGAAACAAGTGCACAGTATGCACGCAGCACAAACCTATGCACCACAGTTAAAAGTGCATGGGCATGCTGTGCCCTAATGCCTCTTGTATTTTGGTAGATGTCTGTAGCTGACTCTTTAATTCAAATACAAGCACTCATAGAATCATAGAATATCAGGGTTGGAAGGGACCTCAGGAGGTCATCTAGTCCAACCCCGTGCTCAAAGCAGGACCAATCCCCGGACAGATTTTTACCTCAGGTCCCTAAATGGCCCCCTTAAGGATTGAACTCACAACCCTGGGTTTAGCAGAGTCAATGCAGCATCCCAGGAAACTTCTCAGGAAGGAGGGAGATTAGCATCTTCAAAGTCCTATTGTCCTTCCTAATGGCCCATTCAGGCTGATTGCACACTGTCTGGTGGGTGTTCCCCAACTTACAGGAAGGCCTGTATCCACTATTAATTCACCAAGATTTGCACAGTTGTAATTGTTACATAGTCAATATTCCTAACTTCAGATGCAGGAATGATACATGCATCCAAATTGGATAATCATATTCAGTAAATCATAACCTTTCCAATGATATCTCACATGACCCATCTTGCATAAAATACATCTTAGTTAAAGCAGATTACTGAGTAAATAAAACAAACATGCAAACTAGGCTTAATACATTGAAGAAATACATACATACATATCATAAGTATATTTCTATGAAGAATATGGGTCGTGATGTCACAATGGTCTTGAGTTTTTGATACCCTTTTGCAGGTGGGGCATCTTGGAATGGCATCCTTATTCAAGTCAGTTAGTGGTGCTGCCAGGATCGCATAATGAGGTATGAATTGGCAGTAGTACCCAGCTAAGCCTAAGGGTACGTCTACACTTACCGGAGGGTCCGACGGCAGGCAATCGATGTTCTGGGATCGATTTATCGCGTCTGGTTTAGACGCGATAAATCGATCCCGGATCGATCCCGGAAGTGCTCGCCGTCGACGCCAGTACTCCAGCTCGGCGAGAGGAGTACGCGGCATCGACGGGGGAGCCTTCCTGCCGCGTCTGGACCCGCGGTAAATTCGGACTAAGGTACTTCGAATTCAGCTACGTTATTAATGTAGCTGAATTTGCGTACCTTAGTGCGAAGTGGGGGGGTAGTGTGGACCAGGCCTAAGAAGACATGCACTTGCCTTTTGGTCATGGGTGTCTTGTATACCCGTACAGCATGAATCTTATCCACCAAGGGGCAGACTTGTCCGCCACCAACCCTATGTCCCAGGTAACAGGCTTCTTCCTTTCCTATTCCACATTTAGTGGGGTTTGTCGTTAACCTGGCTTCTCTCAGTGATCAG